CCACTTTGTCCTACGGGATAGTGTGATCGTACTCTTTACATTCGAATCACATGAGCGGAATCCTTTCGGAGACCCACACTTACTAGCACTGAGTTTTGATGGGCGAGTGAGTGTACGCAAGTAGCATGGAAAGTCCTACATTTAGAGAGCCCAGGAAGGCTAGCACGTTGGAGCTATTAGTCACCTACGTTGGAACTTTGTAGCATCATGAGGGAGGCACGTATGAGCTTGTTTTACGAGTTCGATAGGCTTTATGAGCTCTTATAGGGACCCATAATGCGCAAGCACACCTGTCATAACATGTCGATTACATGTTAAATACCTTAAAGGCATATGTGATGGTACATAAGAACATGTCTTTAAATTAGACAAATTTAATGAGATTAAAAATATTGTATGATTTTGAGCACATTTAAGCATTTATTGGATTGAATAAATTGTACCGAATATTCCAATTCATATAGAGAACACATCATCTCTTAATTGACCCACAAGCCTAACATGTCTGTTTACATGCTCATGAAGAAATTATTTTGACAAGTTTAACTTTTAGACACTTGTTTGTACAACAAGTGGACTCGGTTCAAGTTAATTTCTAATATGGAGTAATATATAATAAATTAATTAAAATTTATATTATACACCTAAAAATAAAGTCACTAATTTTTAAATTTATCTTTTTAAAAAAATTTAACTATAATCTTCCAATTTAACTTTAACCGTTTCTAAAAAAAATTATTTAAAAAGTGTAATGGACTTGGTCATTTAATACTTTTCATTATTACAGGGTCCTGTTTTTTTTTTTTTTGGAAATTATTACAAGGTCCTTTCATTCGGATTTCACCTCATGTATGTGGACCAAAGCTCAGCGCAATAAACTTTCCAACATCGTCAAAAAATCTACTGCAAGCCACTACCATTTCCCAAATCCCCCTCTCAATGGAGTATCGCTTATTCCTCGTCATCCTCCTCCTCCTCACCATCATCAACTCCACCTCCGCAACAGTCAAACCCCACAGCAACATAACCCTAAATTCCTTCGTTATGGCCACCGCCTTCAGCTCCAGAAGACTCTCCTGGCTCTCCTCTTCCGGCGACTTTGCCTTCGGCTTCCTCCCCCTCCCCACCAACTCGTCCCTCTTTCTCCTCGCCATCTGGTACGCCAATCTCCCCAAAACCACCATCATTTGGACCCCAAATAGAAACAAACCCGTTCCTTCCAATTCCTCTGTCATCCTCACCTCCGACGGACAGCTCTCCCTCCGACACCCCGCCGGCACCGAAATCTAGAACCCAGGCGCCGCCGCCGCTTCCTATGCTGCCTTGTTTGACACCGATAACTTCGTCCTTGTGTCCTCTAACGGCTCCATCTTGTGGGAGAGCTTTTCCGTTCCAACCGACACCATTCTCCCCTCCCAAAGCCTAAGCCCCAATTCCATTCTTCTTGCGAAGCTAAACTACGATGATTTCAGCTATGGCCGGTTCAAGCTCTCTATGCAGACCAACGGAAACCTCGTCTTCTACCACATCGCTGTTCCCACCGGATTCCAGTACAGTCCCTACTGGGCCTATAACACAAGTACGCCTAATTCCTTGTACGGCTATCAACTGGTTCAGCCTTGTTTATTAGTTTAAATTCTCGTTTCTCTCCGGCCATTTCTCTTCTTTACTGATAAGTTCACTCAATTTTCGTCAAGAAAAATATTTTTTTAAATAATAATTTAATTACATTGAACTATATTTATAAAATTTATAGCATAAAATTATAAAACTTAAGATTGTTGTTCTTAATTTTTGAATTTATGTATTAATCTTTTGCATTTCAACCTCATTTAGCTTAAAGGGTTTTGAGGAACTGTATTTGCTAGAATTTAATATAAACTTTCATAGAATAATTCCTCTGAGACGACCCTAATCTGGTTTTGTTTTTCACCCGTTCTATCTTCAGCCTATTCTTCAACGTCTCCGGAAGCATTGACCTGGTTTCGCCGACGGGGGCTTTCATGACAACTCTGACTTCATCAACGACGTACCCAACCTCAGATTTCTACCACCGAGGAACGCTCGACCACGACGGAGTCTTCCGGCACTACGTTCACCCAAGGCCGTCAGCTGCCGGTGGCGCCGCTGCTGAGTGGGTGGTCATTGATTTTAAGCCGACCGATATCTGCCAATCTTTGATTACATCGCTCGGTGGCGGTGCTTGCGGCCACAACAGCTATTGTGGCTACGATGTCAAGCAAATGGTCGCCTGTCAAGGCCCGTTGGGTTATTCTTGGGTCGACCCAAACAAGACCTATATGGGATGCAAGCCGGACTTCACCATGCCTAGCTGCATCTCTGGAGTGTGGAGCGAGGGGTTTCAGATGGTGAGAGTGGAGAATCTGGACTTCTGGGGAGAGGATTACGAACAGTTTAATCCTATGGGTGAGGCGGAATGTATGCAGCAGTGTTTGGATGATTGCTTCTGCGCGGCTTCGATCCACGACGGCATAAGCAATTGCTGGAAGAAGAAGCTTCCATTCTCCAATGGGAGGATTGGGAGCTACGTCGACAGAATAGCCTTCATCGAAGTAGGCGTGAACAAAGATATATGAGTTCAATCGAAGTTAGATGATATATAATTGTATTTCTCTAAGAAGGGAATTATATATATATATTATCATTTATCTCTATTCTAGAAAATATTTGTGGTTCTTCTATTTTTATTTATTTATTTATTTTTTTTGTGGTTCTTCTAATTTATAAATCATGATCTTTCATTTACGTTTTATTTATTATTTTGCTTTGGGTCTTTGATTTGAGCCCATTTGGGCTCGGATTGAGTCAAATTTGGTGTCTCTAGATTTATATTTCCGTGACGTTCAGTTCGACTATAAGTTTGCTGAAATCAAAGTTCAGATGGGCTCCAATTTAATTTTTTAAATTTCCAACATAACTTTGCCTCGAGATTCGTGCCGATCAAAATAATTTTTTTGATGATGTATCAGTTGTCCACCTATTTTCGGACGTCGAAGCTCTAAAAGTCCAAAAATAAATGTTTGAGCCTTTTGGGAATTTTTTGATACAATTTGGAATTCGGAAATAATCTGATCTTGAGTGTAGAGGTGCTGAATAGCTTTAAAAGATCCAAAATGGATTCTGCAACGTCGAAAAAAGGCCTAGGGGACTCAAGAAACATCTGATTTGGTCAGTCCGGCCAGAAAATTGGGCCTTAATGCACATGGGTCGTCGAACTTATATATATATACCCCTCATTTCTCATATAAAGGGACCCTCCAAGGGCAGGAAGGAGTCTCAAGAAAGAAGAGAAGGAAGAGATTCTTCTTCGACCACTTCCCGGCCACTGACTGATGACCACTACAGGAAAAATGGCTAT